AGACCAGTGGAATTTCTGCAATAAACGAAGACGAGGAACACCAGTTGGTTGCTCTTTTTTCCCTATCATGAATTTTGTCGAAAAAAATGGCGTCGGAATATTCACTGAAAAGCAACACCCGACTCCGTCAGGGGCGACGACAATATCGCTCATATACCGCACTCACAGTCTTAGTATATTGTTTCGATTTCTCCGGGACGTGAGCTGGTCTAGGACCTTCGAGTGTCTTTCTGTCAGAGAGGGAAAACGCCCTGAAGTAGAACCTCTAGAAATCGAGGCGAGAATGATGGACACAAGAAATTGCACTTAAGGGATTCGTTGAGGAGGCTCTCAGAATTCTTCCCGAGTAACCCTTCAGGCAGTCATCACAATGGTAGTGACGGTAAGAAGGGCGTAGTCAAAGTGTGACGCACAACTAATCCCCCGAAAGGACATGAACAGTGAACGACATTTACGTCCAAGTGTGCAGAAAAATAATCGAACAGGACAGATGGCGAAAGTGCAAAACGCACTACCCTGTCCTTTTTTAATGGCTTGTAAACCTAATCTCAATTTGTGAACACAAATTCAAAAGTCAGAGCATGCATGAGCCTGGAGTTAAAGAAAGGGTTTTGTCGTCACAGAGAGCAACATTGCAAAATAATGCAAGCTCAGGCTTGGTGCATATCGATGGCACAACTCGGGAGACATGACACTTAGATGCCGGAAAATATATCGGCAGGGTAAACTGGGAATCAGTTGTGCAGAGCGATGCATGCGAACGACCTGTGCCATAGGATCTTTACCTGATTTTGCCAAAAGAAATTTAGATTTTAACGTGGGTGTCGAAACATATGAATAACGGCTGATTTGCAGTTCGTTTACACAATGCATCATAGTTTGCGATTGTGCGTCAGCGTAAAATCCACTGAGATCCTTGGTGGGCCTTTTACTATTACATTCGACGACCTGCTGTTCGCCGACGACTGTACGCTCAACTCGCGACCGAAGTAAACATGTAACGGTGAATGAATCTCTTCGCCACGTGGTGTGCCATCTTTGACGTGGAAATCCACACGGACGAAACGGTGCTCATGCACCAACCTTCCCCGAACGCTGAATACATTATTCGCATCACTGGTGACGGCAACGGACTCCAATTCATTGGCAACTTCGTTTACCTAGGTAGCGCACTTTCGCACAAAACAACCATCGACGATGTGGTCGTCCACCGGATCTCCAAAGCCAGCCAAGTCTGCGGCCGACTGCAATCCGAGTGCAGTAGTCGTGGCCTTAAAAGTAACACTGGACTGGAGATATAAAAGGTCATTGTCTTGAGGATTCTCCTGTACGAGGCGACAAATTGGGCCGTCTACGCAAGCCATGCCAGGAAGCTCAAACACTTCTATTTCAGCTGCCTTCGCAGAATACAAAACCCGAGATGGCGAGACAAGATCCCGAACCTGGAAGTCCTAGAACGGACCGGAATCCGCAGCGTTCACGCCCTGTTAAGGCAACTGCAACTACAATGGTGCGGTCATCTCGTGCGGATGGGAGATACACGCCCATCGAAAGAACTCTTTTATGGTGACGACGCCGCCGCCGGTGCTCGTTGACCGGGAGGACTAAGACGACGCTACAAGTGCACATTGAGGGATTCTCCTAACAAATTGCATATCAATCCAGAGACCTGGGTGGACCGAGCTCAAAACAGACCGGTCTGGCGAATGGGATTGAGGACCGGCGGTGCCATCTACGAAGCAAAGCGGATCGCCGACAACAAAATGCTCGGAAGTCACGAGTGCATCGCCTTCTTAATGCCAGCCGTCAACCGCTTAGAACATGCCCACGCTGCCAACGCGCATCCCACGCGCGAATCGGTCTTGTGGGACACCTTCAGACCCAATGTGCTCATTCTGGCCCGTCGCAAACCCCGCGACGACGACCGCCCCCTTCACCAATGCTAATACTAATGTCTCGTCGACGTCGATCTCCAGCACAATCCACCCTGCCCCAACCCCTGCGTAGACGACAACGACCAGCTCCACCGCCACCACCGCGAGGACATCGTGCACTCACCCCACGGATTGGGCGGCGCCCGATGCCCCATCACCCTCAATACCCCCACCTCTGGCCATGTGGACTATGCCCAACCTGTCCCCATTGCGGTCGCACCTTCACCTCACACTTCGCCCTGGCCGGTCGCTTGCGAATCTATCGCACAGAGACTGGCAACCAATGCCTGGAGCACCAACCTACGCTCGTCGCATCCGTCCCCACTGCCCACGTACATTAACTCGCCCCATGGGCCTACTCGGTCACATGCGTATCCATAACAGTGTACTTCATCACGCCTAGTACACTCTACACACCCACCGTGCCTAGCTCAATCCCCACCCCATCGCCTAGCGCGCTCGCCATGGAAACCGACTGACACTCCCGACCTCCCAACGCTGTCCTCGCACATTCATATCACACATCGGCCTGGTCGGCCACTTACGAATCCATCGCACAGACTGGGGAACCATCGCTTGGAGTACCAGCATACACTGGACACACTCGACTCAATTGCCCGCATTGCCTCCGCACATTCAGCAACCGCATCGGCTTACTAGGCCACGTGCGCATCTATGCAAACCTGCGGTAGGCGACCGCCGGCTTTGGCACACCATCACAGATTTCCCCACCAACACCTGCACCACACAACGCGCGCACTAATCTGCCACCTACTACGCAAGTAGGAAGTGCACCTCTCGGCTCCTTCCCCGCATGGCTCCTCTGCTGAACGTTGATCCCAGCCTGAGACTATTACGGCGCGCCGAGCGCCGTAGCTCAGGTTGCCGGCTGATGCCCCGACTGAGTCCACGCGGTCTGTCGTGTGTGTGTGTTGAGGGGCAGACTAGTGCGCTGAGTCAGGCCGCCACAGCTCCTTCTTAACGTGACCTCTGGCACCCTTACGCATGTGAAGTATATGCCGCTCACCCCTCGTGCGAAATCCCGGCGCCTGTTTGGGCGAGGCCAAGACGAGCGTGTGGCGCGCAGACGTCACCAGATATGCTAGCCAGCGTGTGGTGGACTAGTTATAGGCTCACGCCGCGCCAATTGGGATCCCTGCCGCCCCCCATTGGTGTTGGTTAAAATCCTGGTTATGCTTGTTGTGGACCAGGGGGCGTGGCGATACGCCTAGGTGCGCGTCCGGCCGTGCCAATCACCTGCGCCCCTTCCGCCTCCGGTCTTCTTGAATATGTCTTGACAACGGGCTCAGGTAGGGGAGGACAGAATGCGGTAGGTATGCACAAGTCTACTGTCTCTACAAAAGAAATCACGCGAATCACCGTGCCTACTCCCACCTGGTTGTGGGGCACACGCTGGACACGAGGGAACCGTTTACATTTGGACGACTCGGAATGGTTTCTGCCTACGAAATGCCGTGCGCGAACTTAACTACCCTCGCGCTGTCTTCCTACGCAGATGTTCACGCCATTTCAGATCTCGGTGCAGTAACAATTGCCTATGTTTGCTACGCACTAGCATACAGAATGCGGAGCGGGATTCCCGAATCACATAATGGAGTTCCTGGGGTTAAATAAAACGGCAAAATTCCCACATTGTAGGGACCGATTCAGTCACAAACTAATCCTCCCCGCCCCGCGTTCAAGGGCTGTTCTCAGAGGCCGTAGCAAGATGGATAACAGACGTGCGCTGGAGCCCTCGCTTAACGGGCCAATTGATGATACATCAGTATCTAGATCCGGGTTTATGCATTCATAGCGCTAAAGGCTTATCTATGGATGGTGTGGTCTAAAAAAATACCAGACTAGTAGCCAGAATGGCGTCATTTCCTACGACGGACAAAGCCAGTCTAGCGTTAAAATACCTTGCGCAGAAAACACAACGGAAGTCACGTTTTTTGTCATCAGATGCATTTTAATTCATCGGCTGTCGTCTCGGACCACTTATTGTCAATAAGACCTAAGTGGTCGCATTCGGTAAGTAAGAACAGCCATTCTTTGTGAAGGACAGACTGGCAAACTAGCTTTCAAACAACTGTTAAAATAAGCACTTTTAATTCAAATAGTGATCAAAATAAGCGACGTTCAACCATATGTACAGATGGGTAAATTTATACAGCTAATTAAGTTATGTTCAACACTGAGCATCTCCTTGATCATCGTTATCGGCGGTAGATCTCTGCTTTGTCAAAGCGGCGTAGGCAGTGTAGTCGGTATGCGTCGCGGATGAGTAGCCAAGACCCACCCCCCGCTGGGTATGTGTAATTGTCCGGGAATTCTCGTACTCTCTTTCCAGGTGTCGGAAAAGATCAGCCTGGGCTTGCGCCTTGTCGAGAGCAGCAGCCACCTTCTGGTCGTCCAGGGCAATCGATCCTGGGGTTTCTGCTCCATGAATGCCCATCAGTTTGCAGAATTTGGCTGCAGCCGCAGAGTCCCCCTTGCCGGCCACCATTGAGGTTGTTTTCCACATTGTCGATTTTTCATCCTAAACATGTTTGATTTTATATCAGACGGGGCTCCAAATATCTAATTTCCATGAAGGCCGCACGAGTGTGCGTCTGTAATTTATGAGTTCGCCAAATATGAGTAAAAGGCTGACAAATACATAAAAACTTGGACATCTTGTAGGTGGTTTCACAAGAACAGTGATTCAAATTAGGGCGCGCTAGTCCTTTACACCCAGCATACTGATGATCGGCCAATGTGCTGCAGAATAGTTATGAGCAATGACAGACATAAACTTGACAACTGAAGACTCGTGGAGCTTATTATATACGATTCATCGCGAGTCAAGCAGTATTGTGAAAAGATAAAAATAATGCATAGCAGTTAACACTGGCGTCCTTGAGTTGCACAGCCAGGAACCGCAAATAATGAGACTGAAAACAGAAAATCAAAAAGGAACTTATCGTACACTTCACCGAGCATTCTTCTTCAGGATCATGACGATTGTCCACACCAATCCACCGCCTGTGGCTCAGCGAACACACAATTTTGTGGGTCGAGTTATCACGTGACCGAAATCTGGCCGTTTAGTTGAAGAAGCGAGCACGCGTGTTGCTTGAAAACAAATGTAAGTGTAGGAGGGAAACCTTTAGTGGTCTGGTCTTACAGTTCGGGAATGAGGCAGGCTTCCACAAACACTGACATACGGTGTTTCTACTAGCTGATTCACAGCACGGCCTTTAGTGGCTCAAATCCAACCGACGGGAGGCCTCATAGCCCAAACAGAATATGCCAAGGATGAAGTCAGGGTGGATTCGCAGAACAACCTCGGATGTATGCGTTGTTAGCGAAACACCAATGGAAAGGTGGGAGTCATAAGCATGGTGTGATGCAAAAAGCCGAGGCTCATAGGCTGGTTTCGACAGCGGCCCTTCAGTCTCGTGCGTAAATCGGATTCATTTTTCGGAATACGTGTGACTTAAATGCCCTCGTAGCTGACAGAATAGACGCATATGATGGTGGCCTAAGCAGGAATTTAACGGTACTGCTTACAGAGCAAACTGTCCATTCTAAGCATAATCCACACCTTCTCCCTGAAGAATTGCCAGTCGGCTGGCTTGAGTGAGTGTAAGCAAGGGCCACACACAGGAAATCGTGGAAAATTGACTTGACAAATATCATTGGATTCAGCAACGGAAATAGGTTGTGGACCCCGAAGAGGGCAAAAACGACAAACGGAGAAACTAAGAAAGGAGTGTCCAAATCTCACCTCTTTCTTATCAGCTGTTTTTTTGGACCAGAGTAACTTCCGTTTCTGTTGTTGTTCAGCTAACTTTGCGGCATTTACCGACAATGGATTATAAAATTTTGGAATATTTGCTGCAACAGCTGCGGCTTCTGCCTGGGCTTTTGCCTGAGCTAACTGTGTTTCCTGAATTTTGGCCAGAATATCCTTCGGGTCTACACGGGGCAGTCCGTTGGCATCTATAAAGCAAAATTATGCGGAAGTAGGAATGGTCTGCCGAGTAACGAGAAACTACGCATCAGCACCAAAATGAGGTGGAAAATGCACCAAAGAAACGATTCAAAAGCTAGACCTCAATAGCATCGGTCTATTGTAAGCTAGGGGTCGACCAGATGATAAACAAGTATTTCAGTGTTGTTTTATTAATGCAGCTCCAAAACTCGTCATTTTTACATGCCAGACCTGTGACCTTAGGCGAAGTTAGCAAAGCTCACGATGACTTTACAGGGCAGTGCACACTGGCATGTTCAGTAGACTCGTACTGCAACTAGGTGACGTGCGACATGTAAAAAACATCAAGTACTCCCCTATATTTGGGCGCTTTTGTATGGTCAGGTTCTAAAATTGTATTCTACAGCTTGGGTGTGAAATGCAAAATTGAAGCCCCGTTTACTCGACCTGCAGTGGGGGCATTGTGATGTTTACGTCGTGGATCAAAAGCACGTCAGGGTTATAATAAGGGCTAGATCGCAGTTGGTAGCCAGGACCCGCATTACAGGTGGCGGGGGGAGGGTAATTTACTGAGGTTATGTGATTACATCTGACCCATTTGGCTTCCGTTTTACGTTTGAGGTTAGGATTAGGGTACCGGTTAATGGTTTCCGATTTTCGGGTTAGGGTTATGCCTTTGGGCTTAGGTTTTCGGATTATGGTTAGGGTTTGAACGTACGAATAGGTATCAGTATTACGGCTAGGTTTTTCAGTTACGGCTATGTCTAAGGGCTATGTTTAAGTTGACGATTTCGATTAAGGTTGCCTTTAGGGTTAACGGCTAACGTTTAAGGTTAAGGTTCGGGCTAAGTTTAGGATTAGGACTAAGGTCGTCGTCCGCTTCCCCATTCCTCGCTACCAACTGCGATCTAGCCTAAGAAAGGTATACGCATACTCCGCGTAAAATTTTATCCTTTATATTATACACTAGTAACAATGACGAATGGGGAAAGGTACCAGGTGTAGTGGCCGGCGTGACGCTATGCCTCGCCTATCAGTGCGGTTACGAGCCAGTTGCTGAGCGGACATATGTACGTACGTTTTTCTATTTCTTCTGCAATAGTTAACTAAGTCCAGAACGTCATTGGAGAAAGTTGTGAAAAGCGTACCTGTTGCAGGCTGAACTAGATTCCGACTCATCGCAGACGCAATCATAGCCGAAGCCTTTGCTGCTACCTCTTTGGCGGCGACAGCAGGATCAATAGGTTTTGGTGGTTCTACAGGCTAAAAGTTGAAAAAAATATATATTAGAAAGTGTTCATTTTATAATCAGTTAGTACCTTGGGCTCGGGTCTTGATTCCAAATCCCGACGGGTTACACCATTTGTAAGCCTGGATCGTGAAGGCCCACAATGTTTATCTTCATAGCGGCTGCGGTGCGATGAAGACCCATGCCTGGATCTGCTTCTGTAATGGTGTCTGCCGGAAGATCGTCTGTGACGATGTCGGCTTGAACCACGTCGCCGATGACGATCACGATCGGAAGAACGGTTAATCCGTCTTCTGTAGTGACGATCGCGGCGTTCTGAATGCCGGTCACGACGATCGCGCGACCTACAATGAAGCAACTAGTTAGAAAGGGCTTAAGTGATTTGGAAATAAAGAAATCAGCGCTTGTAGGTTCCCTAACCTATGGCTGCTTGAAGACCTGGAGCGAGAACACGAGGCCTTGTCCCGAGAAGACCGTCGTTTGCTTCTATACTGCCGGGGAAGAGAGGGCTTCCGTTTAGGCGAGTCAACACTTTTTTCATCGGAGGAGCTGGATGATGTTGGATGAGGAGACGACCTCTCTGGAACCTTGGTATCCCATGAAACAAACTAGCTTAGTGAGAAACGTGTAAAGTGTAAATTGTTACTGATTTAAAAGGGTTGGTGGAGAAAGCTTACATCTGACTGTTGCGTGGGCTCATTAACCTGCTGCGGTTCCTCGGTTGAGTCCTATAAAATAAAGCAGTATGAATAGGTGCTAGCCGCAAATTTCAGTAAAGATACTACTCTAGAGCTGAGGTGCGGTGAACAGTGGCAGCCTCGCCCCAGACACATGAAAGCCAGTGAAGTAAGTAACTCTTAAAACAGACTTAATCGCAAATAATCTCCATACTTCCATAGACAGATATTTGCGAAGTCTGAATGCACAAATCTATCTACCGATAGCACAGGACCAAAAATCACAGGCGTCATCGCGATTAAAATGATGTCCGTAAATGCTGAGATGAGACCCACCAGTCGGCAGACTTTTCTTCATTGTTAGATGAAGTTTGTGCGCTCGCTAAATGCACCTGGCCGAATTGCTTTGTACGTGTCAACCGGGATGCCCAAAATATTCAGGAAACAGTAAAGGGTCCGTGCCGGGTATCTCGCTGCGACCTAATGAGTACTCTGGCGGAGTGATGGTCTGGTGTATTTACGTATTATGGAGACTCCAGGACACTCGCTTCTAACTGTTGTCAGGAATTTCCCATCTGCAGTAGAAATTAACCTCTAACTTTGCAAACAGATTTGACAGGGCCCACTTAAGACTTATTAAGTGTTCTATGGGCCATCAAAGGGGAATGTTCACTAGTCCGTCGTTATGTTGAGCTCTGGAGTTTCCCGGAGCACTTGAATCATAGCGTCAAACTTATGCAAACCTGACAATGCATCGCCGTCCTACAATTACACATTGCAACCAATAAACAGTCAGATAGGGGTGTAGCTTTTGACATCGGCTAGTGGAACACTCGGGAATACAAAACGATTTGGAATGCCTGAGGGTTGGCGAGGAATTGCAATCGCCCAGCATATGCTAGACATATGTCCCCAAGTCGCCATCGTTGCAGGTGTTCCTAGGTGACTGTAATGAACAAGCTACTGGGCAACCTAAGACGCGAAATATGCGCAAAGGCATGCCACTAGACCATTAATGAGACTTTATAATTCAGTCAAAAGAAGACTGCGTTTAAATCAAATGCAGGTCCTGAAAACCGTACGACCGAACATGGGCGTAAGGAGGTGAAACGTGCAGTGGTACGCAGACGAAAGCTCGACAAATCAGAGACTGGCGCCTAAAGAGTATCTGTACGGATCAAAATAGATACGAAGCACTACAGAGCTCGGTGTGGACCAAGGAAACGACGTAAATGAAAAGGAAAAAGGCACTGCACGGCCAAATGATTAAAATGCAAGTGAAGTTACGAGAAATACAGTGTTTATGTTGTAAACCTCGTTCTACAAATCAGCAAAAAAGGTTATTACATCAACCGACGATTCGTAGTCGCAAAGCATCCCAACGGGTGTCGCCATTGAGTGCGTCAGCGCTTTCAAACAAGGACTGGAAAGTTTTAAACAAGGTCGATGGCTCATGCCAGATTCTCAGATCGGCGGCATAACGCACTGTCTCAACATATGAGTCCAAAACAACGCGCGACCGCCAGGTATGAGGTTATGCGGGTACGGACAGTCGAAATTCATAAGCATTAGACGATGCCCAAGACTTCAGCAGGTGTGGGTGTATGGGCGATCACATATCTGACGCCACCAGGACACTCGGCCAAGGTTGTTCATTGAGAACAGAGGACTTCTTTGAGTTTTCCAGCACAAGCCAATTACGCGGTCATCACTACAAGGTCAAAAGCGATCGTACGCAGCTAGACCGTGCAAAGTTTTCATTCAGCCTATGGGTTATCCGACCATTGAACTCGCTACTAAGTGAGATGGTGACGGCGGACGCAATGTGTATGTTTAAAAAAACTTGCCCCGTAATCTTTGATTAAAGCCGACCATTGTAACAGAACTACTCACAGCCAACTTTGCATAACACTTTGTTATACCCAGTCTTTCCGTGCCGACTCGCAGTGAACAGATGCAGATCCTTATTATTAATGTTGTACTATGAACCGATCGAATTCTACATGTTTGCTACTTTATTTTGAGTCAAGTATGTGAAATCAGTAAAGAACAGAATAGGTTTATTATAGCGCCCCTTGGGCACTGTCAGTCCCCTTTGCATGAAAAGGGTCGACAAGGGATCTGACTCTAACCCCTCAATTACATACATGCATCACGATAGGTCGACCGTCGATTTCGACGGCGTCCACCGTATGCCCCACAGCAGATGGTTGGAGTAGGAACAGCTGTAGAAGACGTACTGACCTTGCTGTTTTAGTGTGTCCTTACCTTGACTTACTTGTACTTTTTGTCTGATTGGTGTTCCGAACGTGCCTTTTTAGTGACCGCCGTTGAAGAGTGTGATGGGCCCAGTCGAGGGACCGCCCGTAGGGAAGAAGACGGCGAGAAGACGGAACAGGACTGATTACCTCAGCTGATATATTCCTTTTAATAAACGTTTTCCATCGTCAAACTATTCTATCTGTGTACGCTTGCACTTGCAGATGATGAACTCAATTCGCGCTAATTTTCAGGGTTCCCGCCAAGGAGACGCCCGACCGGGTAGAAGCATCAAGGAGGCCTATACCGACTGTCGGCTAGAAGGAGACGATGACAAGCCCGTACCCTTGGGTGGCTCGGGTACTACAACAGCGACTTGCGCATGGGTTTATAGTGCCAGTAAACTTGCGCTGCATTTACCACACTCTCTCCTCCCCTAGTGTCAAGACAGAGTCAAACAGACCGGAGACGAGGGGGGCCGCTGGTGCATGGCTTGGACGGATCCTCACCTTGACGCTCCCCTCCGTACCACCTGGTCCTCTCAACAAATGGCCAAGATTTTTACCAGCACCAATAAGACGAGTGGAGGCTGGCACGGACGAAGCCGCACCTAGGCGTGCCGTCTGTGCCTGCCTCGGATCCCACGCAGTGGGAGTGCCATAAAGGTCACAATAAGAAGGAGCCATTGCAGCCTGACACAGACCTCCAGTCGATGTCCAAGTTATCCCGTCAGTTGGCAAACTTCAAAGCCACGGCTTTCAACGCACTGCGATGGCTTCAAACGCGTCAGATGGTTTATAGTGGGGAGAAAGTGCGCTGAGTCGTCGACCTCGCTCTCCCTTCCCATTCCTACACCTTAGGCACAGACCGAGCCGGTCAGCCGACTGGAGTGGGGAATGGGCGCAGTGGCTGGCATAGCCTCCCAGGCAAAAATACACTAGGATTTCGCTCAAGGGGAGTTGAACGGCGTGTCTCTCAACTGCGTGAGAGGGTCGTGAAAGGTGCTGTTTCAGCCCGTCTCGCAGTCCACCCGTCCGTCACTCCACACAATACGCACAAAACGGGACGGACTGCATGTACCGAGTGGGGCGTCAGTCAGCAGCCTTCCAAACTGAGGCGCTTCATACGCTGTGATAGTGTGGCAGTTTAAGTTTCCTTGGTCGCTGCATTTGTCACGCTGCCTTCCTGTCCGCTTCACTGTTCCTGTCAATCCGCCGTCGGGAAGCGCGAGGTTTTTCACTAGCCTCGCGAATGATCGAGGACAATCAACGCTGTCCTCCCTCAGATTGACTGGGGGATACTGTGATAACGAAAGACGCCCACACGCGCTGGGTCTGAGAGGACACAGACAACGACAACTTGCTTAAAGAGCGCGCTCGCGACGACTGCTTGCAGAGCCTCTGTACACGCACTTCCTCAGCAAAGGTTTTCCAAACCCAATCCGTCTTCCTTGACTTTGTATTTACGCGTCTTTTGAATTCGGTTTGAAATTTTCGACCTCCGAGGGATTTAACTTTTCCGAGTCTACTGAGTCTTGGACATCCTGACGGCCCCTCAGAATTAACAGTTCGGTTCTTCAGGGCAATATCTCGATTCTCACAGAATTTCAATGGGAGTCTCGTTCGGAAAACCTATCTCCTTTCGACCACACCAGGACTTGTGAGGGATAACCTATCTTCGTCCAGTCGCCTCTCTGCAACAGCTCTGAGCAATCCTTAAAACCTACGAAGGGCTGAGTCGTTTACCTCATATCCTTGTTCTGGTTGAAAATTCGTCTCATTCCTTTACAAGTTTCAAACGTTTTCTTAAACTCGGTAATGTTATTCAGAGAAATGCCCTCAAAACATGGTGTAAAATGTATGCCCAAGGCGGGATTCGAACCCGGCCCATCGCTCGGACAGACAAGCATCGTTACCACTAAGCCACTAACTCGCGTCAATTTCGTCAAAACTAATAATACATCTTGTATTACGCATGATATTAATGACTGCAGTGTTGGACGTTCTGCTGTCAGACCAATGCCCGTAAAACGAGCAAAAACTCTAATGACGTTGGGGGATGTCACATACGACGATGAAATCTGTACCACATGTTTCGGACTCATCCATAAGTTTTCAAAATTGGAGGGGGAGTTAAAAGGTCTAAAAATGGAAGTAGAAAAGTTAAGGAAGCTTACTCACCACTTACGTGAAGAGAAGAAGCCGACGAAATCGGCAATCCAGAATCCGAAAAAAACATATGCAACCACGGCTTCTTTAGCCATATCAAACGCTGAAACTGACGACGGTTCGTCCATGGAACTAGACACAGTTGAATGCCAGTCTCTTAGAAGAGAAAAAGACCAGCCAAAGCGAACTCAGATAACAAAGAAACATTCCAGAAAAACAACGCGCACCTCTGTACGGTCCAAAAAAACGAAGGCCGCCTACGTAAACGCAGACCAGCGAAGGAGACGACCAGGAGGCCTACGAAGGACCGCCGGAGGCTCCGAAATATGTTGAACAATAAAGATATCGGTACACCTTGTGGACCGAATATTCAGGAGGAGGCTTCGAAAGAAACTGAGGTAAACTTTTTCGACGAACACCTCGGAAACGCAGAAGGAAGGGTTATCAACAGGAATATAAATGAATCGTACACGGGTCTCAGTTTCGCTAGCCCAATAGCTAGTTCATTCGAAACCAGCGAAACTAGTAAACTGGAGAAGAACGCTCAGTCAATCAAGAGATGTGTGACAACAACGAGCACTAGGTTCAGTCGCAAGCAAAATGTAGTTATAATAGGAGTACCCGAATCAATGGCAACAGTTCCAAAGGAGAGAGTTAAGCATGACTTAGACCTACTTCAAGTGTATGCGAAAGCTTTGTTAAGAGACGATGAGTCAATAAGTGTTCTCAAAGCATTCCGAATAGGGAAGAGTCAGTCAGCATCCGGTTCCAATTCCCGGCCTCGACCCCTAAAAGTCATTTTGGAGACTGAAGCACAGGCCCAGCTCCTGTTACCGAGAAAATCATCTCTACGGGGCCAGCATCCTGAAGTTTTTTTTCAGCCGGATTACGAGCCAAAAGAGCGAATGAAAATGAGAGAGCTGTTGACGGAGCTGGAAAAGCGGAGAAACAGCGGCGAAACACACCTACAAATCAAGAATGGACAAATAATTCAGGTCAAACGGACATTTCTCTGGCCGAAGGCCGTCATTCTGACAGCCTAACCGATGCGAACGTGCCAGCTCCCGAGGCTGCTCGGACCAGTGGCCGCTGTCTATAAATCTATTGCACTAACTGTCAGAGTCTTCTTAACAAGCTAGATGAACTCAGATTACTTGTCTCTGAACAGAAGCCACACATAATTGTCCTAACAGAGACATGGTTGACTGAGGAAATTAGTAGTAGCGAAGTCTGTATTGAAGGCTACCAACTGTTCCGTTGTGACAGATTTCACCGTAGAGGAGGAGGCACAGCTATTATGTGTCAAATGAAATTGCGTGCTGTCAACGAGAAATTTCCGATGGTGCGCCTCGAAATTTTGAAATAATTTCATGCCAGTTATGTATCAAACAGTTACCGACACTGAACCTGTGTGTTGTCTATCGGCCTCCCAGTTCGAATGAATTCGCCGATCTGCAATTACTTAGTGCACTGGAGTTGTTATGTAAGCAGGAGAACTTACTACTTCTGGGTGACTTCAACGCTCCAGGAATAGACTGGAACATTCCCCTAACGAACGCCCCGTCCACGTCATTTGACCACAAGGTACTACAACTCTCCCTGAATGAATACGTCATTCAGCACATAAAATTCGGAACAAGAATAAGAGAAGGACAACGATCTAATTGTTTAGATCTCGTTTTCAGTAAAGAAGAAGGACTCATAAAGGAAGTGAATACACAACCTCCACTCGGTTTAAACAATCATATTGCTTTTACCTGCGTGTGCGCTCTCCTATCCAACCAACAACCAAAAATCAAGACGCGCAGAAATATTTGGAAGGGTGACTTTAACGCAATGAGACGCACTCTTTTGAAGGAAACCTGGTTGGTCAACACAGAAGATTCAGACGAATTCTGGCAGTACTTTCGCGGGATTATAGAGCGTCTGGTTGATTCCCATTGCCCAATAAAAATGACAAGACCATGTTCGCGACCGCCGTGGGTCAATCCGACGTCAAAAAAGACCATGAAGAAGAAACAGAGACTCTGGAAAAAGTATTTGCAACTTCGAGATCCAAGGTCACTCGCCGAATATAAGGATCAGCGAAATAAATGCCGTAAAGAAATACGGGTTGCTAGAACTTCTTTCGAGCGTCGACTGATAGCAGAATCCATTACATGTCCCAAGAAGTTTTACGGGTACATCCGCAGTAGGAGGAAACATAGAGACGAAATTGCGTGTCTAAAGGATAGCCTCGGGAATCTAGTAGTTGAAGGGCCACAGAAAGTGCGATTACTGTCTCAGTTTTTTCAATCGGTTTTTACGGAGGAGTCCCTAGAAGACAATCAGCAGTTTGAAATGGACCGAGACAGCCGGAAGCCTCAAATGCGCCAAGATATTGCCGTCATTGAAGTCGTCGCCTTTTCCGTCGAAGAAGTCAGACGCGTCCTCAGTCAAATAAAACCTGATAAGTCTCCTGGACCCGACGGAATTCCCGGGCTGATACTTAAGGAGCTATCAAGGGAGCTGTCAAAGCCTCTTTTGACTCTCTTTGAGCTGTCAATGAGAACAGGAAGGCTGCCCTCACAGTGGAAATCAGTTAACATCGTTCCATTGCATAAGGGAGGTAGCAGGATGACAGCAAGCAGCTTTAGGCCTATTACCTTAACTTGCCTCCCTTGCAAAACGATGGAAGCTATAGTAAAAAGCGCTATACAGCAATTTTGTGAAGAAAATCAAATCTTGCAGGATTTTCAAAATGGCTTCCGGAGTGGACGTTCCTACCTCTCAAATCTGCTAGCCTGTCTGGAGATCTGGACCAGGGCTCTAGAAGAGGGTTTTGAGGTCGATGTCGTATACATCGATTTCAGCAAAGCTTTTGACACTGTCCTGCACCAACGTCTTCTTCACCAATTGAGCGCCATCAGCATCCGGGAGATCTTCTGAACTGGATTAGGGCGTTTCTGGTTGGTCGGAAACAACGTGCCTGTGTCGGGGATGATATGTCAGAATGGGTGAATGTGACCAGTGGTGTGCCGCAAGGCTCACTTCTGGGACCATTGCTCTTCATCCTTTACGTTAACGACAGCCTTCAGGAACTCGACTGCGGCAAAATAATGTTTGCAGACGACGTTAAGCTCTGGCAAGTCATTAAGGGTCCGAATGATCAGAGATCCCTTCAAGAGAATCTGCACCGACTGCAAGCGTGGTCGAAGAAATGGCTTCTAGATTTCAATGTGGAGAAGTGTGCCGTCCTTCATCTGCGTCCAACCAACTCTCATTCAAATGAGAGCCTGAGGACATATCACCTGAAAGATATAAGGCTTCCCGCAGAATCTTCACAGAAGGATCTCGGGGTTTGGATACAGAACAACCTGAAACCAACACTGCAGTGCCACAAGGCTGCAAAAAACGCCATGGGAGTGCTGCATGCAATAAAAAGGGCTTTCGTAAGTTTTGACCAAGACCTTTTTGGGAGAGTTTACGGCACATTTGTTCGGCCTCACTTAGATTATGGCATACAAGCATGGCGGCCATGGCTGGTAAAGGACCAAGAATGCCTCGAACGGGTACAACGGCGTGCAACAAAGCTGGTAAACGGTCTAGAAAGCCATTCCTACACAGACAGACTGAATTGCCTTAATTTATTCCCTCTGTGTTACAGGCAGCAAAGAGGTGATCTTATCGTCGTCTACAAGATAATACATGGCCTTGCTCATGAACTTAAATTTGAGTACATGTTTCAATGGCACCTTTCACCCAAGTTTCGTGATTACTCGATGAATTTACGGACAGCAATGTCCAGGCTGAATTTTGGTTCTGAATTTTTCACGCAGAGGGTAGTGGAGAAATGGAACGATCTCCCTCAGTCAGTCGTGGAGGCTACGTCCCTGCAACTCTTCAAGAAACGTTTGGATAATTATCTGTGTCTCCTGTTTTCCCTCGACAGTCTGAATCTGAATTAGTACCCCCGGTCCAAACAAATATTTTATCTGAGACAATGCTACTCAAATGAACAAAGTACTGTTTTAATAGTGAACATTTTTTGTTCGTGTACAGTTATTTCTAACGAGCTGACATGTAATCAATAGGGTTTTTAAAGGCTTTGCCTATTATCCTTACCAAATAAACTGAAATAAACTGAAAGTGAATTTTAGTCAGGTCGACCACACTACTTCCGACAATGATCTCAGGCTCGAATCCCACATGCAGCAAACAAACAGTATGGAGACGGAGCTGAATGCACCCTTCCAACTTTCGTGGGAGGTGGCATTTGACTGGTCGTGGTGAATGATGATGTTGTGTGTGGTAGGTAAAGGAAGATGTGATGATGTGATTTAGCTGGCGGCTGTTTCCCACAGGCTTTCGTGAATGCGAATGTGACCTACTAGGCCCGTGTGGTAGGCGAATATGCTTGTGAGAGAAGTTGAGGCGGATGCGGCGAGTGTAGACTGGTGCACCAGGCACCGGTTCGCCAGTCTCTGTGTGATGAATTCCGAAGTGACCGACCAGGGCAATGCGTGCAGTGAATGTGCGGGACATGGTGAACGGGAAAAGTCGGCGGTGCCAGCGTCGGTTTCGGAGATGGTGGAAGTGGTTTAACTGCTGGTGGCGAACGCGCTGGACGGTGGGATATGAGTTGAGCTGGGCTTGTTAAGTGTGTCGAGGCCGCAGTCAGTTCTACTCACGTGACCGAATAGAAAAATGCGGCGAGTGAATGCGTGGGGATAGTGTGGATAGTGGAAAAGAATTCGGCCAATGGAGGTTGGTGCTCCAGGCCCTGGTTCGACAGTCTCTGTGCGATAAATTCGCAAGTGACAGACAAGGTCGTGTGTGAGGTGAAGGTGCGGTCGCAATTAGGACAGGTATGTATAGAGTCCACGCCGCTTGGG